TCCGGGAGCTGTGTTAAACTCAAACAAAGTACAGAATTTTTTTTAGAATAAATACGAAACAGTAATCACAGAGACAAGATAATGGTGAAAAAAAAGTTTTATAAAAAATATATATATTATATTAGCAAGAGAAATTTCTGGGGAAAATTTCAATTTCCATATTACATGACATTAACCCGACATAGACAACCATTTAGTATGATTAACCTATTTATTATTATTAACCTGAAGTAATTGAAATTTAAGATAGCAATGTTAATTTAACCATCGTTGGATTGAATTCCAGAAATCAACACATCGTATGAAAAGGCTCGCCCGCAGGTAAGCGGTTAAGAGCGACGGGACTTGTTTCAGAGGTCCCTGGTTCGATACCCACTTCGAACAGCCTGTTGTCAGGCAGCAGGGACAACGGTTTTCTCTTGGAAATATAGATAGCAATATGTTTCCAAGTGAAAATAGCCCTTGCCCGACATTGCTGCACCAATAAAAAGTCAGCCCTATTAGATTAATTCTAATAACAAAAATCATCAAATATGAATGGATTAACCATTGGGTTACCATCTAAAAATACAAAGTAAGGAGAAGTTTCAGTCCAACAGCTCATAGGACGTAAGGTTCTGATTGCTGTTAAAAATATAATAAAAAAAATCGTATGAAAAAAGATTATTGTGTAAATTTCATTGATAATTGTATATGTAATGAGAAAAATTTGTGATATGTCAAATAAAATTGACATAGGTATAAAAAAAGATATATCGATAGATAATGAAGATATAGATATGCTTATGCATAGGTAAATAAGAAAAATAATTAGAATATTAAAATATTTCATAAAAAAATTATGTATAAAAATGACACGATAAAAACGAATCTGATATAAAACCCATTATAAATTAAATTAATATTTCAATTATTACATTTATTATTATTTTTTTAAATAGTTGATTAAAATTGTATTGCAAATAAAACTGCACCATCTAAACTGAGAATTTAGGATTCAAAATTTAAAGAAAATATATATGTATAACAACCTAGTGCATTTAACTTAAGATACATATAAGATGATGAGATTCTTAAACGAAATGGATGCTGTCTGAACCATTATTGTGAAGAGGGTACAGGGTCTGTTGTATGTCAATTCTCGTATAGGAAGCAGGATATCCTTTATTAATTGCAGGATGCTGTAGTAATCATAATTGCTAGTAAAACATGAATCAATATCTTAACACTAATGAATCAATAAATAAGCAATTATTAACACTGATCAAAAATACTTGGAAAGGTTGTACCATACAAGATAAAATTCTTTTGCTATTCTTGTTAGGTTGAGATTGGAAATTGATTAATTTCATTTTTTCAATAAATATATTACATATTGACAGGGTGTTCTATAGTGTAATGGTTAAGCTCTGAAACCCGCTCTGAAAAACCTGACATCGTGCATTAGCGACTTCAAATATGGATCAAAGATATGTTTCCAATTGAAATTAGCCCATTTTGGGTACTGCGGTATGAAATGGCAATGGTAAATCTCTTACAACATTCTTTCCTGAATCGAATTGAAATTTAATTCAGCTCATGAACCTGCCCTAGGGAAGTACTGCCCATTATATTGGATAATGAAAACAATGTCCTAATAAAACATTAATTTATAAAAAGAATAAAATTCGATTACGGTAATATTATATACCAAAAAATCGTTGAAACATTTTACGTTTACTTTTTCTTTACAAAATCACAATATAAAAAGTTATATCAGAAATAGTGTGTTATAGCTAATTATTCTTGCTAATTTTATTTGGTTCTTGAATTATAGCTAATATAGTTATATTGCTAATATAAAATATGAAGAGTTAAACTAATTATAAAATTTATTTTAATTAATGAATAAACTCAGATTTGGGTGAAACATTGGTAGTTGCCTTCCATATGAAATCTAAAGAGTTAAATTTATTTTATTCATTTTGCAATTTAATATATTATGTATGCTTAATTAAATGTTTTTTTAAGCATTTGTGAAACATTAATTAACTTCCCGCAGGGCAAGTTATAGTAATCACAAAAAAATCGAAAATGAAATTTTTTATATAAAGGTTTCTGATTATTTTGGCATACCTAATAATGTGTACACATTTTGTGTAATTTTTTTTGGGTTCCGTATCAAGATTTTTAATTACGGTACGGGAAGTTCCAGCAATTTGCCGTAAGACACGATACCATGCACCCCACTAGTTTATGAAAGAATTAAAATTTGGTTATGAAAAAAATCTTTAAACAATCTTTAAACTCTGTTGAAACCATTCACGTTTAAATTTCCTTTACCAAAAACAAGCTATAAAAAATAAATTGCAAATATTATATTATAACTAATCATTCAAAAATTTTATTTTGTACTTGAATATTAACTAATATAATTATATTGCTAATATGAAATCTAAAGTGTTTAGTAAATTATATAATTAATTATAATTAATTAATAAACTCAGTTTTAAATGGAACATTAGTAGTAGCCTTTTAGTTCTAATTAACGGAACGGCAGAGAGTAATTAGAATGAGAGTAAAATCTCATTTTACAGTTTTAAAACCACTGCACATGAATATTCTTCAATATAAACAAACCGTTTCATTCGCACGAAATGCAAAACATTCAAATATAAATATAACTTTACGATTGCATTGCTTCAATTTGTACACATTGTATGCTCAACTAAAGAAAATTTAGTTCATAATATTTTTTATTTTAAAATCATTTTAAATACTTTGTGCAGTAGCACGCCATGTTATTGAATGTAAAGATCATCGTTTAAAATATTTTAATTCAAAACTTTTTACTCATATTTTATACATGGAAATTATTGTAATTCCAATATAAGCTACTCATATTAATCAATGTAAAGACAAATATATTTTTAAAATTGAATTTGTTTATTAGAAACAAGTTCTAATAAGACATTGTTGTATAACAAAGACTTGGTTTATGCACAATGATGCAATTGAAAGGTCGAGGAAGCAACCTTTTAAAGGGCATTTTATACGTCATATTTCAAGAGAATATGAATGATAAGATCTGGTATAAAATTGGGAAAGGTCTGTGATAAAAGGCAATAAGTTATTAAAGAATTTCATATTTGAAAATTGGCAATAAAAGTATTCGCTGTGTGAAAAATATTGAACGACAAAGTTATACGAGTGCATTGTACTCTTTATTTGATTTAACAATTAATAAGGGTTCGTTCTGGGTAATATATTTCAGAAAAAAGTCATAAAAAAGTTTCATTTAACCCTTACCACTCGGCAATGACTTAGAAACAATCAGCTAGCAATTCGGTGCCGCATTTTGACAAAAACGTACCTGATGTAAACTTTTGTATGTTATGCAATTTGTTTGATATGAATTTGTGGACATTGAATGACATACATTTACAATAATCTTTTAATTTATTTTCTGCATTATGTTAAGGTTTAAAGTAAGGGGGCGTTCTTTAATCACGTGAGCGAGTTTTTGTGGATTTTTTGATCCCCCTCCCCCTTGGTGATACATGGTGATACTCAAAATTACCCCCCCCCTCCCCCGCCAAACATCACGTATATTTTCACTGTAAATTTTTTGAATTTATTTTTAAAATGTTTGAACTTTTTTTAAAAAAATACCCCTCTCTCCCCCACGTGATATTTTGTGATTTTTTGTCAAACCCCCCCTTCCCCAAAAAACCTCACGTGATTAATGGACACCCCCTAATTTCTATTCAGGAATTGATAAACGTCGTGGTAGTTTTTTCCACTGAAAAGTGTAATATCGTTTTTCATATGTCTGTTTTTTTATGAAAATTTGGCTTTGCGAATTGCTCGATCATTTTTCCTACTATAACTGTAAATTTTTAAAAGAGAACACTATCTTATCACTGCATAGATTTATTCTAAAAATGAGCAACCTTTTTCGCGCATTTGATTTGTGAAATTTTATGGCTGGCCGCACTTATAAATAATGTACAAAGCTTAATAAATACTAATAAATAATTATTATAAAAATCCTAATTCAAAAAGAATATATTTTATAAGCTAGTGCAACAAGAAAAGATTTCATTATAAATAAGTTGTTGATGAAATAAATAAAATTCTACTTTAGAAATGCTGGGCAAGCCGCAGAAAAATATTTAAAGAGCCGGGGGCCACGTGTTGCTCATCCTTCATCTATTCTATCCGACGTTTCAATACGAACTGAGTCTGAGATAGACTTATGTTGTCCTTATATGGAGACAACCTGTAGAAAGGGTTAAACATGGGAGGTAAATAACTTATAGGTATGTGATTTATGAAAATCAGGGTGTAAGTAGAATATATTTAATAAATATCTTAAAAAGTATGCAGTAGGTAACAAATGATCTGAAAACCACCCAATGCACTCGTTTTTCTTTAAAAGTGTCTTCTTTAGCGTGAAGCAATAAATGTGTATTTAGATCTGTTTTATCAGGTAATAATTAACCAATTATTAAAACACCTGGAAAATGTATGATTGTGTTTTTTAATCAGATTTGTCTGGATTTAAATATAAAAATGCTATCCCTAAATACAGCTATCTTGCATGCAATGCATGCGAAAAATGTGGGCACATCTTTGAGGGGGCGCCATCAAAAAGATTTAGATATATAATATGTAATATATTATCATAATTTATTATATTTTTTTTAAATATTTATAACATTAATAATAATTTCAAATAATTATGGACTTGTTCATATACTATCAATGACAAACTGTAAAAATAGTTTTAAAAAATACAAGGGAAGGAAGGAGGCGCTAAGGAAAAAATTGCACGCGGGCGCTGAAGACCCTAGCACCGGACCTGCCTAAATATATAATTAACATGCAAAAATACGAGCCTGAAACTCGCTTTGCCTTAACAACCACACATTTCGCAACACCTCCAACAATATTCCCAGAACTACCTGGGCTTACATCAAGACGCTCAAAGTCATTTTAATTTAATCTCCTCGACTCACCTCTTTCATTCCATCCAATCTGCCCAAGCTCTTGGAGGGCCTAAGATCATGCCCCGAGGGCACCAGCACGGGGGCGGAGATATCAGCAAATGATCGTCTGGATCTGCGTCTCTTGTCCTGGAGCAATCTGGCTGCCCTGCCTCTGCTGCGACGACTTTGTGCAGCAGGCTCTGATCCTGCTGCATCTTCGCATTCGGGATCCGATTGAACCTCCCTGGAACGCCGCCCCGTGGGGGGTGACGTCCAACGGGACACTAAACTTTCCAACATGGTAAAGGACAATGATAAAAGATAATTGATTTATGTAACTGGGTTAATTGAGGAACACTGAGGGAAAAAACATTTTTGTAAAATAATGTTTGGTGTGAAGTTTAAACTAAATCCTTAAACAATTTGAAAATTCAAACTGCAATTAATAGAATTTGATTACCGAGTAAGTTTAACCACCTTCACTGTCATGTCATGTTAGGTTAGGTGCAGGTGCAAACTTTGAGGTTATGTTTAACTTTGAGGTCCGTTAATTAATTTTACACACACAAACATTCAAATAAAACTTGTTCACGTTATTTAATTGAATCTATTGATATAAAAAACTGGCACAACTGTAACAACACCACGAAACTTGTCTTTCATTCTGCAATATGTTCTACTTAACCACATTCAACAGGTATTTTTGTAGTAATCACTCAAAGGCATTGATTAACCATACGAATGTTCAGATTAAGCTACGATTACACTGTTTAATCCTAAATAAGATTTAAAATATGCTATTGACACTGTTTTACTTGGTATTAACACACAATTCCACTGCAGTCAGTCTTCTGTGTCTGAACAAAACTGGTTTTCAGAACGAAACTCTTTTAGGTCGGCACTCACAAACAGTTTTTTAAGCAAATCGACACGCACAACACTAGGATATTGTCATTAAACCTAAAACTTAAATTATCAAACTAAAATAGTTCTTGTAGTTTATTTTTCTAAAAAGGCATAAGTAATAAAACAACACAGTACTTTTCGTATTGGCATTCGTCAAGCAACTAAAGAATCGTGTGTATGCGAGCATTGGTAGCATTGCCTCAATACACTCTCACGAGCGGCCACACTGCGTCAGTCCTTCTGACTCGCTTCAGAGCTGAAAAAGAAAGCAACATAATGAGGGCGCTGGAGAGCGCCATTTTTGAATAAATATTTTAAAATTTTAAAATCAAGTTTGCAACTGTCAAGTTCTATAAAAAGTAATGTTTTACAAAACAGTAATAATAGTCAAGGAATAAAAATATAAATATTGTCAGTTTATAATATATATTAAATTACTTAATATTTTGAGGAAATGTAGTGATGTACTAATTAATTTAAATTAAAAACATAACAGAAATTTCAATATATCTATAGAAATAATTTAAATAATTATAGAGTGTTAATTCTTAATTCCGTTTAAAATCAATAAAATTTATAATTGTTTTTTTATTGGTTATTTTATTTGGATTATTAATTTCTTAATAAATTCAGCTTACACGATAAAATATATTAATCAACGCTTTTTTTAAATAAAAAAATAACAATTTTATTTGCATTTAATCTGTCAAGTTCTATAAAAAAAGCAATATTTTACAATTCAGTACTAACTAAGACATATAAATGTAAATATTATCAAATTATATTACTTTTTAAATACTCTATTTTTAGGTAATTTAATATTTTATATTTTAATAAAAATAAAATACCTATTCTAATAAAAATATCAAAAATTGAGATAAATATAGTATGTTAATTCATAATTCTGTTTAAAACCTATTAAGTTTATAATACTTCTTTTTAATTAGATAGGTTATTTGAATTAGTTACTTCATATTAGTTATAGCTTGATATATAAAATTCAATTTTTAATGGCATATTTTCATACTAATATAAATTACAAGCATGATATTTTCAGTTTCAAAGTTAACAATTTTGTAATATATAAATAATATTTATATATTTTGTTATATATTTAGTTACAAAGTTAAAAACTCTGTAAAATATAAATATTATTTATATTTGTTAATTAATTGTTAACTTTAAAACTGAACTCTAAAAAATATGGTTTTATATTAGTATGGATTAAAAAGAAATTTCCAGAAATTAGGCTATATTCAATGCCTAAAAAAATTAAAAATTAAAAAAACCTATTTAATAAAAAAACAGAGTATTATACTTAACTGGTTTTAAACAGATTTATGAATTATACCACAATAATTATTTAAATTATTTATATACATATATTAAAATTTCTATTGTAATAGAAGTCTGCTTTTTTAAATTATTACAAAACTTATAGAATTTTCTATCTTAAATTTTGTACTATGAATAATCAAATAATTTAATTACATGAGATGTAAAACAACCAGAGAATGTTTGACATGTTTAGATATAACTGAGATTGAAAAATATATTTTTTCTATTTATAATAATATATGCAAATAAAAAATACGATTTAAAATATAATAACATTATATTAAATTATTCAGTTTGGCAACTTTCTTTGTGATTAAAAGAAGATACCAAAACCAATTACAGCTATAATTATTAAAAATCTTTAGATTATATTGGGAAAACTGATTCATAAAATTTTGTAATTATCTTATTACATATTTGTAATCTTAATTTGATTTAAAGTTGAATAAATTATTTTGATCTTATAATTGATATTTAAAAATAAAAACACATAATAAAATATTGTTGTTCTTTTGGGAAAGCTAAAAAAAATACTATAATAAAAAAGTTATTGAAATAATGTAAGTGAAAAATCGACATAAATTTCGTTTATATTTGTAAAAATATGCGCCAATAAAAAATTACTTAATTTTTTCATATATAAAATTATTTGGATTGACTTTTTTCGGAATTGAAAAAAATGTAAGAAGAATAAAACTATATTTATCAAAACCTTTATAATAAAATATAATTTTAGTTTAGAATACTCAGAATTTTATAATTATTCTAATAAATATTTGTAATCCTAATTCGATGCCGGATAAATTATTTAGATCTCATAATTAATAATAAAAAATAACATTTAATAAAATGTTGTTGCCCTTTTAGGATAGGTGAAAAACATACTATAATAAAATTAAATTTATAGAAATAATGTATGTAAAAATCGACATAAACTTTCATTTATATTCATAAAAATATACGCTAATAAAAATTACTTAATTTTTCTATATATACAATTATAATCATTATAAATAATTATTTTAATATTTGTAATCTGAATTTGAGTTAACGTCTGAAAAACTTATTTCATATATAAAGGCAAAGGCAAATAATTATCAATATTTAAGTTTAATGGAAATTGTTTTCATACAAGTGAAATTTTTACACATTAATAATTACAAATGTTCATCAAGAGTTTAACATAACTATAAAGAGTCAATTTAATATTATTTGATAAAATATATGGTGAAACTAATTACTCTTTATCTCTACTTTAGAGCATGATAAAAAAAAACTTAATTTCATACCTATAAAATATTTTTTTTATAAAAAAAGTTTATTGATGAAATTGTGACTCCTAACAATGGCAATAAAATGTATCCCAGCCGTCGCACCATAACGTCTTGTGTAGTGCCTGGCCGTTACCTCATGGTGCGATTATACATGCATACATCTCTTGCATTCGTGGATTTATTATTGTATATGCATATCTCTATTTCTGTTCGAATCCGAATGTATTGGTTTATCGCAAAAGTATACGTATACGTATATGTTTAAAAGGCAGCTCTCTCGAATCACACGATGACGACGGTTTTTGTCGCGAACTTACAGTTCATTCTCTCCTGCAACAGGTGGAAGATGGAAGACTGACACCCATGAAAGGCACTTATTCAAATATGTATGTGAATTTCATACTTTTGTATTGACGGAACGTTATACAAATATTGAGAAATCTATGGGAATGTTGGGATAAATTATATTTGTATGATGAGTTTTTTAAGTTGTTGATAAAAATTTTGATTATGTAAAAGTAATACTATTTTTAATACATATTGAGATGTGAGTCTCAGGCTGAGACTCTCAGCCCACTATCATAATATCAAGCTGATTGATATTATATCAGAGATATCGAGCAGTAGTGATATCAGTTTTTACTTCCAAGAGAAAATATATTTCGGTCACCCATGAAAGGCGATTATATTTGATTTCACATATATGTGAATTTCATACTTTGGTATAGTAGCAACGTTATACAAATATAGAGAAATCTTGGAAATGTTGTGATAAGTAATATTTGCATGATGGCTTTTTTAAGTTATGGATAGAAATTTAAAATATGAGATGTTACCCCCATAGTCCTACACCAGGCAACTTTGATGTCAAATTTTCACTTGAGGTTATAGATCTCAAATATAGCCTCAAGTGAAAATCGTCTCTCGTGGGTATAGTTGCATATATAATAAAAAATGTCAGCAAATACTTCGAGTATAGATAATTAGTCATAACTGGACTGGACAACCACTGGGTTGCCATACATTCGAGATCCATATAATAAAAAAAGTCAAAACAATTACTGAATGTTCGTACTGAAAGTGTGATAGATTGTAATTAACAAAAAATGAGATGTTGGTCTTTACAATTACATGGTTTCGAGTTGCATCCTACATAATATCATAATTAATATCATACTAATGAAATCAAGCAGTAGTGATATCAGTTTTTACTACCAAGAGAAAATAGACTTCAGACACCGATGCATAAAAAAGCTGCTAAAACTAGTGGTGTATGGCAGCAAAATTACTTTTCTTAAAAAATATTAAATTTTTTTAAAGTTAAAAAAAATTAGATTTTTGAGAATTTTGAAATTAAGACTTTTTTGAAAGAAATAAATTTTTGTTTTTATTTTGAAACGTTTTGGAAATTTTGAACTTTTTACAAAGCAATCGGGCTGCTTTAACTGCATAAAAACGAAATATGGAAGCGTGTAAGCGCCGAGCAAATAATGTTACGGAACCCATAGAAATGTAAACAAATTTTATACTAATTATTGAAATCTATATAAAATACTAGATAATTTGATACGCATATGTCTAATGATCATTTTTGGCAAATGGCTTTTTTTACTCTTCACTCGATCTCCAAAACCGCTAGACCTGCCTTCCCAAAAAATTACATAGTGCTTTATTTTGTTAATACAAGTAAAATGTTTTTTGAATTATTAAAATCGGATACTATATACTCTTAAAAACTGAGTTACCGTTTTTGGTGCTTTGCCCCGTATCTTCGAAACAGCTGGACCTGCCTTGTCCAAAAATCAGCACGTCTCCTTATAAATAGGAAACGAATGTTTTTTGAATCACTTAAATCGGTTGAACCGTATTCCCAAAATCGTAGACAAAAATTTGTATCCGAACAAACACATACATATATCAACTTTTTCTAAAGTATGCCAAAATGTTCAGAAACCTCTAAAACGTAAAGATATATAAAAATCTTGGTATGGAACCCATAGAATATGAACAAAATTTGTTCTTATTATTGAACTTTCTATAAAATATCTGATAATTCGATGAGCAGGTGACTAATGATCATTTTTGACCGCCAAATGGCATTTTTTGACCTTTTTATTGGATCTACGAAACCGCTCGACCTGCCTTCCCAAAAAATTAAATAGTTCTTTATTTTATCAATACAAGACAAATGTTTTTTGAGTTATTAAAATCGGATACTCCGTTCTCTGGAAAACTGAATTACCGTTTGTGGCACTTTTTGCCCCGAATCTTCAAAACGGCTAGACCTGCCTTGTCCAGATACTAATCAGCACGTCTCCTCATCAACAGCAATTGAATATTTTTTGAAAAATTCAAATCGGTTGAACCGTGTTCCCAAAATCATCGACGAAAATTTGTATCCGCACACAAACACACACACACATACACACACATTTTTTCTAAGGTATTCCAAAATGTTCAGAAACCTCTGAAACGTAAAAATATATAAAAATTTTCATTTTCGAATATTTTGCGATTAATGTAACTTACCCTACGGGAAGTTAAAAATTGTATAATAATATAATAATTATATAATAAGATGAGCAAATTGT